AAAAATTTTAAACATGTGTAAAAACCCTGTGATTTTACAATTTTACGATGCGTTATGACAAGTTGTGAGTCCCCTCAATATAATATATATGAGCTCATTTCTGACATCCATTCTTTATGGTATGACGTGAGATCTCGTCGAAGTGAGGAAAACTCAATGAGTTCGCCTCTGTTTTAAGCAATATACATATACATATATACATATATATATGTAAAACATATGCATGAGATACATATTATATTGGCACAAGTCCATGGAGTATCAATAACTTAGGAAATAATGGTTTAAATTATGTAGATATCTACAGATTCCAGTTTGAAACCAATTCTCAACTACGACTACACATACTGGTCTGAAGTGAATCATTAAAAATGTGACGACGCAAATCCCGAATGATAAAACAAGAAAAGTTAGTCATTATGTATAAGCTATAAGTCAGTTAAATATATGATTGCGTTAAACAGTGCTTTGAAGAAACTACTAAGGCTCATAAATAACTCAAGTTTTCCGGTTGTACCACTTTACCACAGAACGCGCGGCAAACTTGACGCACAGACTTTTATATTTCTAACTGTTTCTAAAATAGTAATAGGCTGACTTACAGTTAACCGAGTCTGAGAACACGCGTTCGCAAAAACTTACAAACCGTTAGAAAAGCTATATAATATTAATAGCGAAATTATGCGACATTCAAATTTGCAAATTAATTTGCATTAAATTTATTTCGAATTACTACGGACAACGCACATTATTTATAAATATTCACATACATATGTACATCCATATATAGACTAGAAAGTACATAAAGCAATAACAACCTAAACAATTGACCAAAAGAGCGTCGAAGCCGCCTAAAACTAAAGTAGTTAGATAAAGCGTGCACTAAAATAAGTTCATTCGCCACACATTAAACATTTTCCACATGGCTTGTGATTAATCCGCTCGCCTGAATTGAAAACAAAAAAATGTGGTTCAACATATCTATTGAAACTAGAATGTAAACCAGCGATTAAACGTGAAATCAACATAAACAAGAAATCGAACCGTAACAAAGAAAATTTGCATAAGTTCAAAATAAAACAAGAAAAATCGTTAAGTTCGGTTGCACCGAAGCTAAATACCCTTCACAGGTGCATTTCTGTTAGTAACTATGTGTTAAGTTTGTATGGAAGCTATGTATATGCTTTAGTTAACCGATCTGAGCAATTTCTTCAGAGACTACATTGTTCTCTTAGGAAATAATCAATACCAAATTTCGTGAATATATCTTGTCAAATACTAAAGGATATTCCATAATACATTGTTTGATCTTCAATTAGAAAAGAGGCTTTACGAATCATAGTATATGAGGTTTTTATTTATATATAAATATTAATATTATATTAAAAAATGTTATAAAAATAAGGTTTGTTCGTATTATATATCTGCTATCACTACTATGTATACTGACAATCAATACCCTTACATTTTACCCTGATGGCTGTCATAACGAAGCAGGTGCAGGGCGTTTGCCCAAATTGGGGAACAACTTCAGCACCATTGCAGTATAGATAATCAATTCTGATTTCATGACAAATGCAACATTCCTTTTTCTGAAATCAATATATAAATTCGATGGACAATTCTATTTAACTATTAAAGTGTACAAAAGAATGTTGTCAAAAAAGATTAATGAACTTTTGGCGCGCCATTGTATTACAGAAATTCCTAGAATTCTATCCACTTTGATTAATATATAAATTTTTAAAAACTATAGCATATTGAAATCCGACAGCTCAATCGTCAAATTCATTTACGCAAATTCATCGGTCCCGAAAATTGTGGTTCAATTCCTCTTTGTTGCTCCTTTTCCGTTTAGAAGATCACGCAAACGTGACTGGCCGCCTGCAAGACTTCCGAAAATTGTGGTTCAATTCCTCTTTGTTGCTCCTTTTCCGTTTAGAAGATCACGCAAACGTGACTGGCCGCCTGCAAGACTTTTTTCAAAAAAGAAAACGCTTTGTTCTTATTTCCCATTGTCGTTCTATGACATGCTATGGCGGCCCTTTTAAAATATGCACCGAATTTATCCAGAGAATATATATTTTTTTCTCTCATTACTCAATGACGATTATTAAGCCATGCTCTAACTCTTTTCACCTGAAGCCGTAAGCGAGTATTATCATTAAGCACTTCATGAGCCATTTTTTACTCTGAACGGGGCATATTAAGTATGTAATGATTGTGTAACAGTCAGAAGGAAAACGTCGGATAGCGAGACAAGTTCAGTTGATTTAGCCGTGTCCTGCCATAACCAAACTCACCCATCAAAACATTATAGCTTCGGTACAACAGAAGTTATGGTTTATTCGTTTCTTCTTTCCTTTTTTTATTGTTACTTTTAAATTCTTTCAATAATAATAGTTCTCAATTGTGTTAATTTCTGTTTTCATCTGATGTCACTTGATTTAACTAATTGAATCACTATTTTGTGTAGTTTTTGTTAGTTAAGTCGCGTCATCACCCTTACTTATCATACCTGCGTACATATGTATGTAAATGTGGTCACACACACGGAACAAGATTCAAAAACAAAAGCAAGCAAAATAAATTCTGTAAAGCGCCAACCGTGTTTTTGTGTTACGCAAATCAGAAATTACAAGAAAATAGAATAAAAAAAAAAACTTATTTGCATGGAATTGCGTGTACGAACCTTTTGGTGGTGGCATTAAGGATTTCATTTCTATTGTCAGTATAGCTATTGTATAATATTTGTGTGTGTGGTAAAACTTCGAAGTTATGGAAGAGGAATTTAATTTAAAACTTCTCTTTTGATATATTTTGGTGTTGACACAGGGTGATTCAAATGTTTTTTTTTTATATAAATTAAATGAAGTATATAAGAAAAGGACATGTATTGATTAAAAACAATTAATAATCTGACATCAAAATGAAATAACAAACCACAAAGGATCTGAGATACTTAGCAGATGCATTTTACAAGAGAAATATACCTTTTTGAGTCTCCTTATATTGCTAATATTGTATTAATACCTCTAAAGGCAAATATCTTAAAAGCTCATCTCAACTTTGTAAAGTTTTATCTTCAATTGGTGATCTTAAAATATAAATATGTCTGAATGTTTTATATGACACACTCTGTACTCTCAGTACATCAAAAAGAATTCCAATAACCTGTGTATAGCTGTGAAAACCTTGACCTACAAACGCGTTAAAAATTTCAGTAATTTACTCAAAAGCTCAATTTTAGCTCTCTTTCACTCAGAAAGCTTGAGTAAAATTCTTGATGTTTTCTTACAGATTTTCAAACGACCTTGACTAATTTATGCAGAGATTGGGAACTTGAAATTTTGATTCCCTGTACTGAGCTGACAATGCAATGACCTTGATCTATTTTGTAGTGTTGTATGTTGTATTGTTATGAGAATGAATTTCGAGTGATATTATTTTATTGGTTTACAAAGTTGCAATGTTTCGTGTTTTTTAGTTTATTTGGGCGTTTTAAGAATTTAATCTTTTTCTTTTTTATTTTCTTTTACTTTTTTTTTATTTATTTAGTGTTTTTGTTTATTAGATCTTGGTAAGAATATTATGGACTTTTTATTTATTTGTTTGGCATGTTCCAAATTTATTGATAAAGCTTCAAAAATAATAATTTTTTGGTTTTTTGATTTATGTTTTTTGTATTTGTATACAATTTTATTTCCACTTATGTATATCAATGTGAAAACAAAGGAAAATTAATTATTGAAGATTTATTTTTTTTAAATTTAGTTCTGTTTAAAATATTGAACCGTCGTCAGTTTTTTAACAACACTTGAAAAATAAATTCTTTGAATTTTTTAATTCGCTTACAAATTCCACGTTGTTTTTGTTCAAATTTATTTAATCGTTATGTTATTTTTTTAAAAGTTGTCTGCTTTTTAATATTAATTATTTCTTTAATTAATAAAATTTTATTTGTATTTATTAGAAATATTTTGGAAAATTATTTGTTGCATTTATTTTTTATTTTTGAATTTTTTATATATTATTATTAACAAAATCATATATATTTTCGTAAATTAGGTAGATTTGATTTAATTAGAATTTTTAATATTATATATTTTTGTAAACAAATTAGTTTTGATTTAATATATAATTTTAATCAGTTTTTTCTGCAATCTTTATTTTTCGTACAGACTTCTTTTGTATTTTCTTCAAATTTGCTTTTAGATATGTGAAATACATACATAAAATATTTAAATCACAGTTCAACAACCTGCCGAATGACACACGCTCCATTTTATTAGTTTTAATTTTATTTTTTTTCAACGAAAAGGTATCAAAATGTCACTGTTCGCACTATTTCTTCCGTTACCGTTGCTCACTTTTACTGATTCATTTGACCTTAAAGTTCTTCTCCGCAACGTTTAAAGCAACCATTCTCGTAGCAATCAATTATCACCTGGAACCACAACTGCTACATTGTATATAATATGAAGTATGTATGTATGTATACAAATGCTGTACGTAAAATTCCCAGTAGACCCGTCCGATAAATTTCCAATTGCACGTGTGACTAGTCGTGGATTGAAAAACCCGAAATAAGTTTGTTTGAAATATTGTTGGAATTTAAATTTGCTTTATTTCTGTTTTTGTTGTTTTGTTCTTATATACGTATATGTATATATTAATACGTTAGAATATGTAAATATGAATATTAATTGTTTTCTGATAACCGTATAACTTGTTTTTGTCTTTTGACTCATTAAATTTCATTTAGTTTGTGTTTTTTATCAACCCGATACATAAGTTTGTATGTGTGTGAGTTTATATAACAGCAGAAAACCAAGAAAGAACGTTATGCGCAAACACGTAATTCCTTTCGTGCAATTAATTAAAATAAATAATACATTAAATATCATGCTTAATACTAAATATATGTAAGTGTATTTGTTCATGTGTGTGTGTGTGTATTTATAATAATATTAATTTTAAGTGAAACATTGCATCAACATTTTTTTTAAGTTGAACATAAATCACGTATACACACACACGCAGGCACACCTGCACCTAATTTTTGCTATTAAACACTATTCACAAATATCACAATCTTCCAATTCGTAGTACAATATATTACTTAAACGTAAGTATGCATGTGTATGTGGCTTATTTCATAAACCATTTCACTTAAAATCGCTTAAAATTGCTCTCATTTTAATGACGCCCGCCAGCAACTAGGCGCTTGAAAAAACGCGTCGAACGAGTCCCGTTTGTCACACACACACACGCGAGCGCGCTTGTGTCGACTGTGCGCGCTGCAAACGGTATTTTGCGTCAAAGCACTTTCACGAGTGAATCACTTGCGGGCGCCTGAGCGCTATGCAGCTCAAGCCGAGCGCGCCATTGTCTAACACTCGTCTTGTTTTTCTTAAAAAATATCTTCCTTTCTAACATGAGTATTTACACATTTCTTTATAGTTAATAATAAATACGAGTTAAAAATCACTAGTTAAAGCTTTGTTTTCAGTCAGTCAAAAGACGTGAATTTTTCGAAATTCTTCCCTTGAAAATTTCGCAATTCCCCACCCACACGCCTACTGGCGCCCTAAGTTAGACCACATTCTCGTTGAGTCTCACAGCTTTGCGCATGAGCGCTTGTGCGCGCTGTGACACCGGCTGCAGTCGCTGCATCTGCGCGGTTTGTTGTGGCACTTCATGCATGTTTTGTCCGAGTCGGCCCGTTTTCATTTCGATCCAATCCAAATAGTGTGTGACGCGCGTGAAGCCACCGGGTATATTTGTCTCACAGCCATCGGCGGGTCCAAAGCTCGTAATACCAACGACAGTTTGCGTATTCTTCAGTACGAGTGGACCGCCAGAGTCGCCGGAGCAGACGGTTTCGTCGCGCAAGCCTTTCGCACACAGCACACCGTTTGTCACCACATCGAATTCATTGGCGCACTCCTGATTGGAGATCACACGCAGTTCGGTGTATTGCATGGGGTTGTAGTTGGACATCTCATTGTTGGCACCCCAGCCGGTAGCGACGACTTTGGCGCCGGTCAGCGCGTCGTTGCGCCTTAGGTATGGCAGCGTTGCGGGTTGTATGCGCGCTGTGTAAGCTACATCTATGGGCAGTTTAACGAGCGCGATATCATTGGCCGCTGTGTCGGGATTGAAGCCTTCGTGCACAATGAATTTATTCGAGCGCAGCACCAAGCGTCCCGTTTCGGCGCCATCTTCGATGGTGAGCGCGCCCAAGTAGATGTCAAAATGTGTGACGCCCATGGTGCAATGGCCAGCGGTTAGTATCCAGCGTTGATCGAGCAGCGTGCCGCCGCAGAGTATGCGCTTGCGCCACAACTGTTTGCCGATCAGCATCACTTGGTAGGGGAACTTCTCGATGCGTCCGTACTTCGATTGACCGAGTGCAAAGCCCTGCACAGCCTGTGGACCAATTAGTGTATCCATTGCGGCATAACTAAGCAGCACAGCCAATAATGTTCTTTGCAAACTCATTTCTGTTTTTACTTTGCCAATTAATTTGCACTTTTGCAGTAAGTCTTTTTGCACTAACGCGCACTACTTTATACAGCACTTGCTTTCTTTCTTTATTTTTATGTATACAAAAACTTTTCAATTATTTAGTATATTATTTTGAAAAAGTTTTGAAGTTTTTTTCTTCGACTTTCACTTGTGTTGTTATTGTCAATAATTGTCCAAATTGTGTGAATATTTTGCAAGGTCTTCTCGCCTCAAACTCTCGCTTAAATCTAAGCTCATTCTAACTGAGACGTGAAATTTTATTTCGAAACTCACTGAGATCCGCTAAATTTGCCGGTCGTTTTTTATTGCGCCATTTTTCGTTAGCCCATCTTTTTTTGTATTATTATTGTTTGTGTTTTTTGCTTTTGTTTTTGACTTTGTTATTTTCGCTGTTGCGAATTAACTTCTGAGACGCAAACTCGTCCGAAATGTTGGCGCTCACAACGTTCACAGCTCGGCAGCGAGCTGACATAACCCCAAACTCAGCGCGAGCCTTAGCGTCCAACGAGTCGTTGCGTCGGAGATAGCGAACAAGTTCGATGACAGCGTTGTTGTGACGATCGTATCGTGTTTCATTTGCCGCACTTCTCTGCAGTATTTTCCCATTTTTTTATTATCTCATTTGCGTTTTTTCGGCAACGTCGTTTAGAGCGTAGTGCTTCTTCCAATACAAGACTTAGTTACTTACATACATATAATTGGATATAAATATTTATATCAAACATTCCTTGAATCGCATTACTATCAATTTTAACTGAAAGCAAAAGCGAATGCCTGACTAATTCTAATATGAAAATCATTTGTCATGCTTGTAGATACGCAACCTAATTGTACATACATATTAATGCAATGTAGTTCGTATGTATTTTGAACTCCCAAATCTACTAGATAATGATAAATTAAATCGATTCATATTTGCATTTTAATTCTTGAACGCCACTGTACTAATCTATGGAACTTTTGTTGAGATCACCAGTGATAGTCAATTTAGAACAAAAAGTGCAGACAAGTCTTTCTCTCCTCATTCCACACCGCCATAATCAGTTATAACGACGTGTTCATGCCTGCGTATCTGCAGTTCGCACAGTCCTTCACCCGAGCCTAGTGATACTATGCTTCTCTACTGAGCAGATGCATATGCTACTATGCTTCTCGAATTTTTTTCTTAAACACCGAAATTGTAACCTTATTAGATATTGTTATCCTTCTGTTCCATAAACATTATAAAACGCTGAGTTGTTTCCCAATTGTTTCATCTGCAAGAGTGATTTTACGCAAGTCTTGCTCCAAGACAAATCAACAAAACAAGGTATAGCCTACTCTTAAATCGTACTTCTTTAAATTTAAGTCGGTTAAGCATGATCCATCCGCCTTCTCACTTTGGCTCGTCTTCAAACGGATGTGTTTTGTCTACCCATACTTGATCTAAGACCATATGTAAGAAAAATAGTTTCTGCTCCCAAGTGAACGGCGCTCAGAGAATTTGAGTAAACTTTTACACATGACTTCATCCTGCAATGATAATGATACTAGAGCTCCGAAATTAATATTATCTGATTCCTCTTTATAGTTGACGTGACTAGAACTCAGAAATCAAATGGCATAATCGCTTGCTACTTATTACCTATTTTATTATAAAACTTAACTGAATTTGCAAGCCTTCAAACAATACACACCTATGCTTCTAATTTCGACTACTTAAATTTCTGGAATAAGATGCAGAACATATTCGTATACAACGGATCTAAAATGTGCTCTGTAACTTAGCTAAGTTTTATTTAGTTCGAGAATGAGAACCATATATGTGACCTGGTCTACGAAAAGGGAGCTAACGTGCGAAAACTAATTTATGACTTTTTGGATTCTATCACGTGAAAAAGCATCTCATCTTCCATCCGAATCAACTAAGATTTTTTGACACCTAAGCCCCCTTTCCGTAGACCAGGTCACACATAACTAATTTATTGATTATAAAAGGTGATCCATTTCGAGGTTCCCTGCTTTTTTGAAGAAAAAACACATAAACTACAAATTTATTGGAGAATGTTTATTATCATTTGAAAGAACGCTCTTAGGCCTTTTTTTTTATCATTTTCAAATGCTGGCCACGGTTACGTTTCAGATGATCCACCCATTGAGTTCGATCTTCGTTGACTCGTTCAAGCATTTCTACTGGTTACTAGCGAATGACACGATCCAAAGGCCTGAATCGAATCGAGATTGTTTGCATAGACTTTGGATTTTACACTTGTTAAAATGCTTGCTTTTGTTGTACTTCTGTCGAGCCGAGATTTCAATGACAATTAATGAAGATTCCTACTTAAGATTTCAGTTAAATTTTCAAACCAAAATTTTACTTGAAACGACGTTGGAACAAAACTAATTCAAACCCTACACAAAAATCTCTAACTGTGTCACAAAACTTTTTACCAAACCCCATACGTTTTGGATCCTCAGTTTGAAAATTTTAGAATTGTTCATAAAATAATTTAATTGTATAAGACGTCTTTTAATAACTTTACTCAAGCTTTTGATATAGTATTACGACAAATAAAAAATAATAATATTATAATAATGAAAGTTTTGTTTTTTCTTTTGGTCTTTGCAATAAAAAAATGCATGTAATCAAAATATTTTCGTCGAATTCCATAATTTAAATTTTTCTAAATAGTCAAAATTATTCATAGCCTAAATTCCAGAATCCACGGATATTATGCGAACTTATCAACACCGCAAAAAAAAAAACAAAAACACAAAACAGCATCCGCTAAACAATGGAAAACAGAATTCCAAGGAACTAAACAAATATCACCACAACAACCACACTGCGGATTTGTGCGACTAAAACAAAATAAAACCTGAGACTGGCGACACAAAGAATTTCGCATTTATTTATTACAATAAGACAACAACAAGAAGCAAAAAATATTTTGACGTCAATGAACAGAACGGTTGGGGGGCGATGGCTTATCACAAGCCCAACGCTGTGCATAAACGAATTCCGGTGGCTACTTTGAATTTTCTCGGCTATAAATTTGGAAAAAGCACCAACACCAAAGTGGGACAGTGCGGTGTCAACGAGCGAAACAGGTCGCAGCGCGTCTGGCTGGAGCCGCCGCAAATGCGGGATTAATCGGTTGGCGGCGGCGGTTAAACCGATCCGATGCGTAGATGTTTGAAAGTCTTAATACAGTTTTTATACGCTTGACAAATTGCTAATTAATTGGAACGACGCGGCGCGCCAGACCAGTTTATCAGCATCAACACAAATATTTACCATTCACCGAATATCAATCTGCAACACAATATCAACGGTGAATAACTCGGCAACGCTCACTCAACGGAGAGAACGATGTTTGCTTCATCTCCAGACATCACACGCTTCTCTTGCTGTCGTGGAGAGTTGTGATCAACGTCATCATGAGACAGTAGTTGCGAAGCGAAGCACAGTGTTTTGTTTGGTAAAAATTAGTGTTTATCAATTTTAAAATGTTATTATTATTTGTAGCTACTTTCTTCCAAATCGATTTCAATATAAAACATTTTGCAGCAACCGTAGATGCAAAAATTAAATTAAATTTTCACCAGATATCCCCAAAAAAATTATAATCCATTTCTAAGTTCCCTACCTTTAAAAAAAAAATAGAAATCAAATTACATGGGAAATGTTTATTATCTTCTTCAAATGTTGGCCGCGGCTACGTCTCAGATCGTCCATTCGTTGAGTCCAATTTCCGATGACTTGTTCGAGCATTTCGACTGGTAACTGGCAAGTGAAACGTATAATGTTTTCATCAAAGTCCTGAAGCGGGATTATCCGGATAAACTTTAGACTTAAGATATTCTCACAATAAAAAGCGTGAAACGGTAAGCGATGTGATATCACACGATATTCGTGGCCAATAGGCCAGCCGAAAACATTGTAATATCTGCTCACTGACTTCTTCTCTCAATAAATCCCCTGATTGATGCGATGTGATGCGTCTTGTTGAAAGCAAATGCAGCCGAAATCGAGCTTCAATTTCAGGCATCAAATTGTCTGTTATCATGGCGCGATGACGGTCGTCATCGGCGGTTACGTTCTCACCGGCATAATTTTTCATAGAATATGGACCGATGAATTCACCGGCCCACAAACCATACGAAACCTTTTTTTTTCGACATGAAATGGCAGCTCTTGAATCTCCTCAGGTTGACTTCGTCCGAAATGAACCAGAAATGAGTATCATCACTGCAAAAAATTTGGCTCGAAAACGTCGGATCTTCTTGGAACTTTTCAAGAGCCCATAGAGCGAAGCGATGCTGCTTGGAAAGGTCGTTCGGCTTCTGCTCTTCTACAAGCTATATTTTGTACGCTTATTATTTATATTGTTGCGAATAGTACGCTCAGTAGGCCGATTAAGTTGACCATAAGTTGAGCGAAGAGTGCGAACACACATAAATTCTGAACGTAAATTTTCATAATAAAGTTGAATGATTTTTACATGTTATTCAAGCGCAAGCCTTTGCATGATCAAATGCCGAACAATACTGAAGAAATATAACATGACAGTTTGACAACATTCATGCGTCTGTCAAAATAAGGCCTTTTAAACTCACGAACTCAATATACAGACTGCACGATTCATTTGAACAAGTTTATTTCTCTAGGTGAAAGCACTATCGCCCGAGCGTAAATATGGAAATTGAGTACATAGTGTCATTCTAATTCAATTAATGAAAATAAGTTCTTTAATCTAAAGAACTGACGGGTCTGCATATGTATGTTTCTCATCAACCATTAATTATTCAGTAGTATCGTATATAGAGGCCTCAAACTACTACACCGGTTTTCAATACATATTGTTTATTTCTTTGCCTTACATCGCAAAGAACATTAAACAAGTATAATACAATAATACAAGATTGCGACACGCAGAAGACCAATCAGAATAAATTGTTGTATTCGATTCGGCATTTCTCTAATTGCTTTCTATTGACGCTGTCTTGATATAAAATTTACAAATAACAAAGTTAGCACAACAGAATTACAGTTGGTACAAGTTGCTCTCAGTCTATTTTTACCCCTGATATGTTTTGTTAGAATCGCTACTCTTTAAAGCTTGACAAACCGAACGCAGGATTTTTTTCTAATATTCTCAGAAAGAATTGTAAGCTTGTGCTTTCAGCTATAAAATTTTTCCGCACTTCTGTTTATTAACGAATTCTCTCTCAGTGAGAATCCAACACTTATAACTCCTTCTTTTAAGAGCCACTCATGACGATAATGGCCTGACTGTAAGCCACTGAATCAAATTTGATG